AGAACAATCAACAGTACCGTCGATTCGAAGATTCCGAGACAGGAACGACGAGTGTAACTGCAAAAAGTGACACGGCTGAAGTCAGTCCGAATTATCTGCTAACACTGTTGATCACAAAACGACGAGTGTGTTTGCTTGAGGCTGGAACGGATCGTATTGAGAAGAGCTGGTGGGAATTGTTTCTGATTCTTTTCCGCTGACTTATTGCTTTCGATAATTTCATGATTAGTTTTGGATGCATTTCAATGAACGTTTGTGCTCGTCTTTGAAACGGAACACCATGTTGGGATTGCGTGTAATCAACGTTCTCTTTTGAAATTTCCATAGGACGAGGTCATCCATCCAGCATTTTGAATGAACACTATCGAGAAACGCGATTTGTTACGTTAAAGAAGGACAAATATGTTGTCTTAACATCAAATTGTTAATTGACTGCAGTTGTTTGCTGTTTTTTTTTTGAGATACCCATTTGCACATAACAGTCATCTTGACGACTGATCATATTGAATGATGATTATTTATGGTGCCATTCTGTGTAAATTTATCAATCAAACACAGTTTCGATCGTACTCTCAGCAGTTCAGTCAAGCAATTTTTTGACATAATAAATTTGAGATGATCTTTACTTTGACATGACCATTTGAGACATCAGATAATAAAACTGAGAACGATAATGCGATCTCAGCACCCGCAGTTATTGCTAGATGCTATTCAAATGAGCTTCCTCCTTGAAATGCTACGTGCTATTCAAACCTAACTTAGTATCGCTACCTTCTTCTAGAGCACGTTCCTTTGGTTATGCATAAAAACTTATGGCATGCATGCCTTTGACTCCAGTGAAGACACTAAATGCTTCTGTGAACTGAATGAATTTTTGATGACAATCAAGTAGAAATAAATTTTCACAATAGTTCAGTTTTTTAATTTAAGAACTGCGAATGTTGAGTTGTATCAGTCCATTGTATCGGTCATTTTGACCTTCGCAATTTGATAAACAATAGCCAAAATGTATGTCACAGAAACGATCACAAGCTTTTTTTTGCAACGAGAATACATATTTTTGGATCGAATCGATTGAATGCTTTGATTTCTTCGGTTCGTTGGATTTGAATGCAATTCTGACGGTTACAGGAAAAAATTCCGCGAAGAACACATCGAAACGGCACATCTTTTGTCGTTTGCTAATCTATCTCATAGTGGCACTCCAGTTCATCCGTTGCACTTCCAAAGATATGCCCGAAGTTTGGGAATTGATAATGAATGCCATGTGATTGTCTATGATCGCGGTGATACCATATGGGCGACGTATGCAGTCTGGATATTCAACGTAAGTG